AAGCGGCCACTGCACTCTAGTCTGGGTGACTGAGTGAGACTCCAACTCAAAAAAAAAAAAGACTTGCCTCCACAAAAAGTAAAATATTAGCTGGGGACGGTGGCACCTACCTGCAGTCCTAGCTACTCAGGAGGCTGAGGTGGATCACCTGAGCCCAGGAGATTGAGGCTGCAGTAAGCCATGATCATGCCACTGCACTGCAGCCTGGGTGACAGAGTGAGATCTGACTCGACTCAAAAAAACAAAAACAACAACAAAAAAACCTAATTGCATCATAAGCTAAAAAAAGGTCTTACAGTTCTGGCTTAAAATGAATCATGATCCACAACAGTAAACATTAATTTTCAGAGTAACAAAAAACAGCTCTCTATAAATATCAGAAGATGGGGGCTCCTGATCTGAGTCTTAAATATAAAACTAAGAGAAAATGATACAAAATAAAGAGAAGAGCAAGACCTTGCTCACTCACTAGTCTTAAACCTAGGGGGCATCTTCCCTGCTCTTGGAAAGAAAGCAGGGATTGGTTTACAGGGCATTTGGGCATTGACATGGGCTTACCTTCTCTCCAGTATTCATTCTCTTGCTAGAAGAAAAATCTTTCAGAGACCGGGTGACTTCCCTGGAAAATAAAAGGAGGCGACTGAGTTCCACCCAGCAACACCAAGGGCCTCACTAAGAATGCCACGAAGTCAGGTAACGGTCTTCCTTTAGGAATATGTAGTGACTTTTCCCGCCAATACGGTATGCATTTAAAGTGATTGTCTACGAGAAGAGAAAGACATTGCTTAGCTCATTAATACTGCAAACCAGAGTGCAGTGTAACAGATGCCAGAGGAAACGCCTAGAATGTCTATTTATGTTTACTTTACTCCATCCTTTGCAAATTTGTTTGAACACACATAACAAAACATACATAATTTACATTTGAAAAATACACAAGCATATATGTATGCTGTAAATGCACAAATTAGTCACATATTAGTGCAATAAAACAGATGTATTTAACAAATACATTTAATTACTGGAAATATGGGTTAATATTTTTCAAAGTTGAATGATCACAAAAGCTTGGAGAACACTGCTGGAAACAACAGTACTACCCAAGGCTCTTCTTTGAGAATTTCCTGGGAATATCACCAACCCACTGTAGCAGAATATGTCTTTCTGAAAAAGCAAAATTGTTGCCTACAGTTTAGGTCTTACAACAGTATTTAACTACTAGAAACATTCTGAAACATTTTCAGAGCAAGGCCCGGTACCCCGGTTCAGCATGTGGACCCAGCTCCTGCTCAGAGACTTAGGCAGGCGAGACAACAGGCACACCAGGTATGAGAAAGAAAGTCGAACTGCACACAGAGGTGTCTGCAACCATGGAGTAAATGTTTATAAAGTATTTTTCTGAGCAAGCTGCAAATGCTTTCCAAGAATCCTAAGAGCAACCCTAATACAGAATGGCTTTTTTTTTTTTTTTTTTTGAGTTGGAGTCTCACTCTGTCGCCCAGACTGGGAGTGCAGTGACCG